TATGCAAGAGAGTTTTAATGGATAGTCATATCTATACGAAGACTGATAAATATAGATACAACTCTAGAGCTAGATATATACAAAATACAGTAGACGATATCAAAATACGATAAAAAAAAAACCTAGAGATATACACGATATATAAAATAAGGTACACGATCTAGATATACGATATACATTATACATTTTACAATATTCGCTGTACGATTTACGATATACGGTATACAATAGACGTTTTACGATATGCAATATACAATATAGATACACAATATACAATATACCATATAGATATGGACAGATCTTATTATGCATATCATCTTAAGTCAACATTGAGTCTGCCTATCTTTCACCTTCCTTTCAATCTTTCTTTTAGAGCCTCTTTATTATCACAGTCTTATATCCACTTATAGATTAAGAGCTATAGAGCCATGGAGCTGTTGGGGTAGGGTATTGTCTGTTACAGTCTAGCTGAACTTCACATCAAGTCGCTAATCATGCGAATGGGAATCGGGCTATTGGGAAATTGGGAATTATCATCATCATCATCATCATGTTGATGATAGTGATGCTGCACTAGCTGAATGCTGAATGCTGATAACTGGTTACAGCCATGGCTCGTGATAAACTGTGATGAAACTTAATGTTGTCACTGTTGTTGTCACTATTTTATTACTGTTGTTGTTGTTGTTGTTATTGCAACTGCCACATGCGATGTGGCTGACGAATGCAGCTTTGTGGCATTCTCCTACCCATTCCCAGACAATTGTCTCTCCTTTTAATACGCCGCTGACAAGTGTGTGAGTGTGTGTGTGTGTGTGTGCCAGTTTCAGTTTAGGTGAAACTCGGCCACAGTACAGGCCATGTGTAGGACCATAAGAGCTTTGGCAGCACTTAAGCCACCATCAATTTATCTTGGATCTACATCTGTATCTTGGCTTTTGGCCAGGCCAAGTCAAGCCAAGCTAAGCTCAAACCAGCCACGGGGGAAGGGGTAGCAACGGCTATAAATCACACAAGAACTTGTTGCAATTTGAATTAATTATTTGCCATTACGTTTGCCAAGCGGTTTTTCTCTTAGTCGGTCAGTTTCACTTTTAAAAATCACAACAAAAACCAAAAAAAAATAACACAACAACAAATGCCGAAAAAACTTCAAAAGTCCGAAACGCGAAACAAAACGAAAACGGAACGAATAAACGCGAACTCCAAATCGCATGCGCACAACTAAAATTATGCGAACCGGACGCCGCCGCGCAAAGACAGCAACTGATTCGATCCGAAGCGATCCGATGATGGTTAAGCTGCAGCCGAAGTTGTTTAAGCCGATGCTCAAGCTGCCGCCGACGAAGTGGCACAGTGGTGCCCTGCACGGCGCCAAGTGTGCAAAAAATAAAGCAAAATCTTTCACCCAAGATGAAAAATTTGATTATCTATGGCTTAAGCAAATATAAATTTAGCATACAATTCAGCTGAAATTAAATATTAATATACAAAATGATATATGAAAGAATTAAACTGTATACTTTCGCTGCGCACAAATAGACCACGTGACACTGTGCGGCATCAGAAATGTGTCAAAAGCAAAAGCTACGCTTCAATGGTCGCCGTCGCCGCTGTCAACGCAGCAACAGCAGAAGCAAGTGCTGCACGTTTTTTTCTTATTTTGCTTTTTTTTTTTTTTTTTGACAGCTCTGCATTTGTATGCGTGCGCGCGTGCGTGTGCGTGCTCGTGTGGGTGCAGCGCAAGCCGAAGCCGAAAGCTAGTGATCGGCTAGCTGCAGCCGACAGCGACGCCGACGTCAACATTCGCGCACTGTTTTATCGCCCATAATTTCACTTGAAGTCCACTTGAACAATGTCGCGACGGCTGCGTCGCGTCGCTGCCGACGTCCGAAGAAAAGTGACAGTGGGCCAAATGAAAGACAATTAAAGATGGGCGCTTTTAACAATCTGACCGAAAGTGAAGACAGCACAACAGAAAAGCACAGCAATAAAGAAGAGGCGATAAATGGCAGTACAATGCCGATAAATAAAACATTTAAAAGCCCTTTGTTGCGAGCTACGCGCATCGGCTATTCGGCTGACTAAAAAGAAGTTTTATATGTATGCTAGATCTGTAAAAAAGAAAATAAATTAAATTAAAATAAAAGCGAATGTAGATTAAAAAGGAGAGTAAAATCGATTAAGATTTGATTAAAGTGAGCTCGAAGTCATCAATCTTCTTTAAATGCGAATAGTTCTAGAGAGATTGAATGATATCTTCGATCTTCGAATTCGTTAGAATCTGTATTAAAGATGGAAGCAAGAGAATAAACGATCTTCAACGATTCAATCTTCAAAGATGTAGCCAAAAAAAAAAAAAAAAAAAAATGGAATTTTCAACTTGCTGTAAAATATTCACAAATTTTATATCCTAAATCAGATTGCGAATATCCAAGTTTTCAAACTAAATAACTTTATAAACGAGCCAATCTCCAAAGCTAATGCCACAAAAGAAGCTCATTTTCAAGACTTAAAATTTTTTTTATTTTTATGCTCTTCTTATTTTAGTGGTGTGGGATGGATGAAACTTGAAACAATATTCATTGGATACTAACTATATATAATACGATGAAACGAAACGAGGAATACCGAAATGTTGCACAACGATTTAGGAACACGGGAACGCTAGATTTTTTTTACGTGGGTGTTTTCTTGTTTTCTTAATTTTTTTGAATTTTCATTAACGAGGATTCGTCGTTTCTTGATGGGAAAGACATCTTTAATCCTCCCATTCAAGTTGCGAGTCCTCGCCGCTTGTCGACGCGGAGAGGACGAAGTCTGCACTCGAGCAAGTGCTGCAGGAGGAGTCATCACCAATATCTACCCCCTGTAGGGCTATGATCAGTTCATCGTCGTCAGATTTAGTTTTTGCTGGAGCCGGTCCGTAGACTACCTCATAGATGACAGCCTCTTCTTCGTCCTCTTCGGGAATGGTGGGCATAGCCTTCGGCATCTGCAGTCGATTCATGGTCAATAAACACGAGCAGATACTATTATGCTGCTGTATTATCTGTCGGAAGTTCTTCATCTTGCTGGAGAATTTATTCTTTATTATGAATTTTTTCAGATCAACTGCTTACAAAACTAAAAAACCAACTGAATAATATTTTACTAGGCATTGCTAGACCCCCCCTCACTGGCTCAAACAGATGACAGCAAAAGCCAAGCACACTTCGAATTTTGGATCGTGTACGAAAAACGAACAAAGTGGGATTTTATCAAATGGAATGATGATGAACAAGTGCTCTGATCGACTGCTAGATTCCCTGAGTTGGGCAAGGAAATAAAATTTCATTACTGCATACACAAGTATGGGCTTTACTATAGGAACTTTATTGTTGAATAGCTTTACTTGTAGATGGACTATAGTCATCACTTTCATAGCGGGATTAAGCTATAGCTTTCACCAATATACTGGGAAAGGGATGGACTTTGGTGGCGGTATCCAAAATAACACAAAAATCAAAATTGTTTAGATTCACATGAATTCCTAATTTGGAAATCTATCCTTGATGCTGTTATCGGAAGTTATCGATTTTTAGAAACATAAAATTTCAAATCCTTAGCTCCTATAGCCTCAGAGAATAATGCATGATGAACAGATAGACGGCCAGGGCTAGATCGGCATAAAAATGGGCATAAAATGATATAGCAGCACGTTCAGACTATAGTCGGGTTTTCATTATATTACAACTATTTCATATTCAGATCGATAAGGAAGTGTAATGTGGGTAAAAATCCAAGCAAATATGAGTCTATGGTGTCTCCTGCTTGAAGATCCTTATAAAGTTCCTCCAGTCTACTGAATTGCTAATGTTAGATCCATTCGAACGTTATATACACGAGTCACATGATACAAACGAGCATACGAAGGCGAAAAGTTACCATTCAAAATATATTATCTGGATATAAGTCATAAAGATATATAAAACATATTTAAGACTTTTTTGTATATATTTTTATTCTGAGATTTTTTTTTTTTTAAATTGGGCATTCGAGCCGATGCCAATGTCAAATTGCTGTAGGCTACAATAGCGTTTAGTTAGTAATTATAAGTAGCTCTGTGTAATATATATATATATATATACACAGATGCAGATATAGTACTAGGCATAGGTATCGTTAGTTGTATTTTGTATATAAACTGCACTTATTTATGTAGTTTCGCTTCACGAATCACACAGTTCAGTGAATAGCTAACTGCTCCTACGGACATTACAGATAAGATTAAGATCTGGATATCAGATAGAAAAAGAGAGAATTATCCATCGAACTAGCTTAGAGTGCGCACCGCAAATTTACTCCTGCATGGGTGAGCGGTTGGCTAGAGAGGAGAAGGAGGGAATTTTCATGTTTTTGATTGAATGATGCAAATACTATTTACGTATTCATATATATATATATATATATATATGTATGTATATATCATTATTCACATACAACTCTACATATACATGTATATATCGAAGGATCCGATGCAACGAATCGAATTAAACATTATGCATTAAACTATTCAATTATTTATGTTTTATACATCATTATCTTTACATATATATATATATATATATAGTACGTATGCGTAGCACTCTATTTTATTCATAAATTGTGCTACAGAGCTTTGCGTTTGCAACTAGTTCTAAAAAAAACTTAATGAACAACATATATATTCATTGATTATCAGTTATCAATACATATATTTATATATACATATACATATATATATTTATATATATGCACATGTACACATACAAATATATGTAGTATATCTTAAGCAATCACATTATGTATTCGTATTTAGAACTAAATTATGAACGATTGGATGAATATTTTCGTTTTCGTTTTTGCATCCAATTACGAGGTGTGTGTGGGTGTATAAAAATTAAAGGGAATCTCATTTCAAGGCCATTGTTTCATTGCCTGAGTTCGGTTTCGCAACACAAAAGAAAGTTAACAAAATCTAAATTAGACTCATTCTCTATTTCAGCTTCAACTTGTTCTCTTCTTAAATTTATACCAATTAAATCAAAACTTAAATTTCTTTTTCTTCTTCTCTCGTGTTTCACCAAGACCCAAATTTCAAATAGATTTTGATCCATTTTATGTTTTCATAAACGTTCTGTTGACTCTCAATTCTTGGGCTCTGGCGGAGTGGGCACACGCTTGACATTCATGCTGAAGAACTTTGACTTGACCTGCTCAATAGTGTAGTCTACCTCGATGGCCGGATAGCTAGACTTCTGGAAAAATGCAAATTAGTATGGATGCAATTTGTGATTATATTTCATTTCACTTACGTTCTGTGTGATATTCTGACCGCGCAGCTGCTGCCAGTTTTCTAGAATGTGAGCATATCGCAAATACTTCTCAAACTCGTGTAGAGTCTCATAGACATGGCACAGACCCAAATAATCATACTCCAGTCCGGAATAGGTGCGTCCGAACAAACGCAAACCTGTCGGAGGAACGAACATTAGCAAGAGGCGAGGAGAAACAACAGTTATGCTCACTTATGTCGATGCTGCGCAAATATAAGTCCTCAGCCTGACGGAATTTCTTCATTTGATAATTGTAGAGCGATGCGAGATGGCCAATGGATAGGCCCACCTCGTAGTCATACGGACCGAGCAGATCAGTTTTAATCCTGATCGCCTTTTGATGCATTCGCTCCGCCTCCTCGAAGCGATTCATTGTTTGATAGAGCCGCCCCAGATTTCCATAGTGCTTGGCCGTCTGCACATTCACCTCGCCGAACACCTCCAGCGACAGTTGCAGAGCGAAATTATGCAACTCCTCCGATTGTAGCAGCAGACCCTCCTCATCCATGCCGTCGGCAATTTTGTCCAACGCAATCTCCTCCAGCAGCAGCGCCTTCACGCGCTTGGCTGAGGCCAACATTAAGTGATTGCTGGGAACCAGAGTTTTCATGATCTTAACCGCCTCATCGACGTGCTCCTGGGCGCAGCTAAAGTCCCCGGTACTGTATTCATGGACATAGTAGGCATACGACAGATCCTCATGGGCAATCGCCACATGGAAGTTCATGTTGCCAAAGATGCCGCGGCGCACGGCCAGCGCCTCCTTGTAAATGTTAACCGATTGGAACACCGAATCCACATTCAGCAAAAAGAAACCGTAATCCAGCAGCGCATCGCCGTATTTCTGGTGATTGGGGCCAAAGTGTTCACTGAAGAGAGGGAGAAAGGGAGCGCATGAGCGAGATAGAGATATAATTACGATTGACATATTTCATTTGAGTTGGTTTCACTTACCGAGCCCGCCGCACCGCCTGACAGATGAGCAAATTGGCCCGCGCAAAGTCGCGCTTCACCACGCACGCCTTGGCCGCCTGTCGCAGTACATCGATCGCCACACTGCGAATGAAATCAGCTCGAGTCTGGCATATGTTTAACTCTCCACAGATGTGTATATACTTACCGTGTGGGCGCTGAAGCTTCCAAGTGGCGCATGGCCTGCACGCTCCACATGTGACTATTGTTATACTCGTTGCGCGCATAGTACATGGACGAGATTTGGGTGTAGGCCATCGCAACTAGCGGCGCCGGCACCGAGTCTGTCAGCAGGCTGTTTATCTCCATCAGCTCGGCGTATGTCTTCTGGGCGAGCTTGAAGTTGCAAAGTGAAGACTCTGCGTAGAGCAGGCTGCAAGAGAGGCATGCATATCGAATGAATATCAATTTTAGGATTGTGCTGCTATTGCTTACCGCTGCAGGCAATCGAGTCGCGTGATGATGCCATCCTGGAACGCTTGCATTCTCTTCAGTCTTTCATTGAGGCAGGAGAGCACCGCAATGCTCTCCTGCATCCAGCCAGCCTCGGAGAGAAAGCTGCCCAAGCGCAGGCCCAAATCGATGGCCATGACATCCTCATCGGGCAATTCGTCCATGGACAAGGCTTCGGCTTCGGCTTCGGCCGCTGCATGATTCTCTTTAGGCGTCATGTGATTTAGGCAACTGGCTGCAATAGCAACTACGTCCATTGTGGTGGCAGTGGTTTCAACTCCAGTTACAGTTGCAGTTGCAGTTGCAGCTGCAGCTGCAGCTCCCGTTCCAGCAACAGTTTTTGCTCCCGCTGGTTGAGCTTCATCGAGTTCACTCTCTTCTGTTCCAATCTCGGGCAGCGCAAAGCGGCCCACATAGGCATCGCTGAGGCGCCGCGGCAGCGCCTTGTTGCTGGCCATCAAAGCTGCCACAATGCGCAGCAGCTTGCCGCGGGCCGATGTGTAACGGACCAGACGACGGAATATATCTAGGTGAGACAACTCCTCCAATAATGTGTCCTTAAGGTCAGCTTGCTGGGACATCTACAAGACAATTGAGTTAAGTAATTAGATCAAATTCAAACGATGATTAAGAAGAGCTTACAGCTTTACAGCTTCTTAATGCATCTTCTTGATAAGCTTAAAGCTCTGTGCAAATAAGCTATAGCTCTAGAATCTATCCATAGCTGACTCAAAGCTCTTGCCTCAAATGATCTTAATAGGATGCTCGCAAAGACTCGGATGTAGCCTTTTTGTAGGTTCTACTTGATGTAAGCTGCATTTAATGCGAATCACACTTCAAACTCAAAACATTCTTCATCAGTTGAGATTCATTATAAATAGCTATATATAATAGCGGAATAAACAGTCTCTGATTTCATCAACTTTTTTTTTTTTTTTGCTGTTATCTGCAAAAAAGCTTCCCATTCAACAGCTGCTGAACACTGCTGATCATGGAAAAAAACAACGAATGTGCTCCAGAGCTTTGTCAACAACAATTAATAAGGCACAGTAATGGAGTAGTAAAAACTAAGTTCGAAAGAGAATACCTAGAATTTCGGCCAAAACAAGAATGGAATTCGTGTCAACATATTGATTTTGTGGAGCTCGCTGTTGATCAAAACAATCAATTAGTGGAACATCCACCAGTGTGGTAAAACATTGAGCGAATGCTGCCAAGAAGGCAGAGTATAATTAGCACCTACACACACATATACATATGTATATGTATGTATGTAGAATAGGCCGTCTTCAATTAAGCACACGTGTCATGGCTAACCAATAATATGAACAACTAAGGCATTACGCAACACTGGCCTCAGATCCAATGATCCACTGATTGGACAAAGATCTTTGAGCCGAGTTCAATGGCTGCGCCTTGGCTTGGAAGGATGAAAGTTCGACGAAAGGCCACACCGACAAAGCGAATGCGCTATTTTTAGTCAACAATAATAACAACAACAACAACAACAACAACAACAACAACAACAACAACAACAACAGCAGCAGTAGCAGCATCAGTTGATTATTGTTGTTGCTTTTGTTGTTGTTGATGACGCTACTCATAATTTATATTGTAATTGCAGAGCTCTCTTATGACAAACAATTTCTCATTTAAGAATTTACGTCTGTGTGCGTGAGTTTCTTGAAGCATGTGAACAATGCCGAAGTTTACATGCCCTAACGCAGCGCAAAATGTTCAAGTTTGGATACAGTGTATAAACAACAGTTAATAAAGATATCATATCGCTCAGCTACATATGTCAATGATATCTGTGCCATGTGGTTTTAGACAAGATTTAAATACAACCACAGGCACATACACACACACACACACGCACATACACACAAATGCACGCACACAGGCTAGAGCCAGCTGCGCGCACTATTAGACCAGAAGCTTCTACACGTAAACATAAACAGTGAAGAGCTTTACGATTCGCACGAGCTTTTCCTGCATGTGTGCGCGTGCTGCGTATGCGTTTATTTAGCTCAAACAAACTGTAAACCAAAACAAAAACAAAATGCGTCATTTGTTGTCCTACTGCAATTTTGCAGAAATTCATACAAATGAACGAATGTGTGCGTGTGTGTGGGTTCGCTTGTGTTTTGCTACAGTGAATGCATGTCAGCTAACTGTAAACAAAACAGAATAAGATATCGTCATACAATTCGTACGGTCCTGCTGCGAACGAGCTTTACAATAGAAGCGCAAAAATGCCGTAACAGCGCCGCAATAATTGGCGCTCGCACGCACACAAAGGCAACTAGATATGTATCTGTGTTTATGTGTGAGTGTGTGTGTGTGCCTGTGTGTGTTACAGCTGATTTTCTGATTGACTTGTTTGCAGCCTCTGCCTCTGCCACAGCGTGTTCCTTTGCCTTCTTTGCTTTGCTTCTTGAATTTCATTTTCATTTCTCTTTTTTCAGAACTCGCCAACGATAACGTGCGAAAGAACTTACCAGCTCGTAGACATCGATCAGCAGATTGTCCGGCAGCTCTGGCAGCTTGCTGATGCGCTTCAGCGTCGTCACTTTGCAGTCCAGGCAGTCGACAACGGCCATCAATGACAGATCGTACAGGGGGTCGGGACTGTTGTTGTTGCTCTGGCCGGAGGCCATTTTGCTTGATTCTGTTTCCTCTTGTTTGTCTTTGTTGATATGATGTCTGCACTTCTGAGTGTGTGCTTGTCAGTGTGTGCGTGTGTGTGTGTGTACTTGTGTATGTATGTGTTTGTTTTTACGTTGTTATTAGTCTTGTAACTTGATTTTGTTATTCAGTTTGTTTATGTGGCTCACTTTAATTTATAGTTGTACCAAAGCTTACAATAACACAAACAAAAAAAAAAAAAAAAAAAAAAAAACGCGGGTTGTAGCGAAGTATTGGACCTATGCGAAAAGCGCGCAAAAATACATAAGATTTTAATTAACAAGAAATTTAATTAAACATATTTTGTTTTTAGCCCACATGGCTGCTCGTCGACAGTGAAAATATGTGTATGTAACTGTGAATGGCTTGCAATGTTAACATTAACAGAACAAAAACAACAGCAACAAAAGTTACCAAATAAAAACAAAATAACAGCAAGTGTCACTTGCGCTAACTTCACTTTCTTTGAGACGTTCTTCGTTTTTCCTTTTCCTTTTCTTTTATTTGTGTTGTTGCCCAGCGACCAGCAGCTGCGGCCAATTTCACTACTGCTGCTGCTGAGACGAGTTGCTCTTTGTTACACACTCACACTCGTACTCATATACAGACACACGCACATGCACACGGACACGCGCTCGCATACAATCGAACACGCACGTACGTACACGCACAGCACCAGCAAGCCCAAAAAACTTGCTGAATTTGATTTGATTTCTTGTTTTTCAATATTTGTGCACTTACACAATATTGTGTGCATTTAATTGCGTCTGCTGCATGTGCCAAAATTTCGCACGTCTTACTGCTCGTTCGATGTACTGCATGAACCGTTCGCAGCTAGTCAATTGAACTTCTTATTTTATGTTTCGATTTTATGCCAAAAAATATAAAAAAATTTTTAATATTTGACTCGAGGATGAGAGCAGCGACATCACCAATCGCTAACTTACCAAAACTGCCAACTTATCGATACATTTTGTTAACATCACGCGGTCAACCAATAACAGGCTTGATTTTGTGCGTTAACATGCGCAGCTTTGCGTTAACAGCATGATAACGGTGGTATTTAAATCGAATTTCGAATACAACTTTCGATAACAATGCAATTTGCTTCGTTTTCTATTGTTTTTGAATTTAAGCTGTAATGCCAGTCTCATATTTTATTGATAAACTTCATAATTTGGATATTATTGCTAAATATTTCGGATATACTGAGGGAGCATTGTCCGCTTGCGGTTTGGTTAACTCAGAACAGGTCAAATGAATCGTCTTCAACCTCAACGATCCCAAAGTCGTTGGTGCTGCCAAACATCCACCAATGGCGCAATATGTTGCGAATGAGCAGGAAGCGAGTCGTCACAAATTCAAAGAAATGAAAGAATAGAGCGCTGGATGTGAGCAGTGCACAGGATGCGACAAACACCTCCTGTACCGTTAACTGCTCGGTGCTGCCCTGATTCAAATTATCCATGCAATGTAGCACCTGTACACAAGTAAAGAATCGCAGGTAAGCCTCGATCGTTCCCACAACCAATTGGCGTCCAATTAGATGCCATTGTCTGCACTCGCTCACCTGCTGCAGTATGACATGGGCGAGCGGCATTAGCGAGGCACTGAACAGCACGTGCTTCACAATCATGCCACAGCAGCGACCGCAGCAGAATGCGCGCATCATTTGCTTTAGGCTCGCCCGATCCGCAGTTATATTGTATGGCGCATTACAGATCTCGCATCGATTATCGCGACGATGCATGATCCAGCGTTTCAAGCACTTCAAATGTATGTAGCCCTGGTTACAAAGGACGGTGAGTAGTTAAAACAATCTGTTAAAAGCAATAAAAAAAATCCTCTACTCCTACATTTCTTTACCTCACGTTTTTCCTTACTTTCCGCTTCTTTTTCTACTCTTCCATTATTCTTATACAACACTTATTTACCACATATATTTCCCTCTCTCATCCAATTACTTTCCCTACATTCCATTCACTGATATTCTCCCACCTCTACTCTCATTCATTTGTTTCACTTCCTCATTTCTTTCTCATCCCTAAGCTTACTGTCACTGCTTTACCCGTCATTGCTCAATCTCTCATTTCTCTCCTTCACAGCTCTCTAGCTCTCTAACATCTTTATCATTCCTACGCTGCTTCTGTTCTTCCCTGCTTTTCACTCTCTATCACTTTCTCTTTTCCTTGTCTTTCTCCTCTTCAATTCTTCTTTGAGATTTTGCTCTTCTAATTCAGATCTTCTCACTTTTCCATCTAACCTTCGCCTCCCTCATACCATTCTCACTCATTTTCCCTCTATTCCCTCTGCGTTCCTCTAATCGCTTCTCATCTCCCCCTCTCTCTCCATCTATTTCAGACTTTCAACTTACCACGCTGCCTTTGCATTTGCATGGACAGTTGATAATCTCCATGTCGCTTCGATGCCAGCGACAGATGCGACACGAATTGCCAAATTCATTTGCCGAATGGACGCTATCCTGGTTCGCCGGACCCGGCGCCGACCCTGCTGGCAGCACGATCCCCAGCTGCGTGGCCCCGACACCACCGCTGCTACCGCTACCGCCACCGCCACCGTCAACTTCTCCAACACCACCACCACCACCACCGCCCCCCGTTGAGCAGCTGGCAGCGCCGCAAGTGCCGTCAGTCTCAACGGCTACCGATGGCCCCGTCTCAATCGAGGGATTGCTCAACGCTTGGGGCGTGGCGGCGCTAGCCACAACGCTATTCAATAGCCGCAATGCAGTTGCCTCCGATAGCGGTGGCTGCTGCTGAGGCTGCTGAGGCGGCTGCTGCTCCTGCTGCTCCTCGCGCTGCTGTGCCATGTCGTCTCTGGCCCCCGTCAATCAATGCGCAACAGACACCGCTGCCCTCTGCAGTTACCCTGGCTGGGGTTAGGCAATCGCGTTCGTTGTGTGGGTTCGGTGTGGGTTTATGTAAAGACTTTATGTGCGCGTAACGAACTAAATTTTGATGCACGAATTTCACACGTAATTTTGTTTGGACATTTTACACAAAACTTAACGCTCGACCTTCACAGCATGTCTGAGCCTCGGTTCGACAGCCCTCGCTCATAAATTCAAACTGACAGCCAACTGCAGGCCTACTCTATCTCCATCCATTCACTGTTCATCGGATGTGTGTACGTTTCCATGTGAATGGCATAAACTCAAATTGTTATAGATTTCGATTCGAGCTTATCTCAAATTTTCACTAAAAATTCAATCATATATTTTTCTATAAATTAAGGATTTTTCTATCAAATCTGAAGTTCTAGTTTGTTGGGCTGTTTCTTTAACATATATTTAAAACATTTTCTTTTATTTTTCAATAATTTGATATATTCATAATTATAACCTCAATAATTCGCCAAAAGCTCAATAATTCCGCATGAATTTTTCGCAATCATCAATAATTATGCTTATTATTCGCCATAACCTCACATAGTACTTGTATTAAGCGCCATAGCTTCAATAATAATACTTATTGTTATTCAACATAGCCTCACTAATGGGCTATGCTTTTCACCATAATCGCACTATTTATAAATACATATATAATGCTAATTTACTCATCTACTCAATCAATATGGTTTACCACAAAGCCCACAAGTTACGCATCTCTTTCGCCTTAACCTCACAAAGCGTATTATTTATTTACACAAAGATTAATTACATATTCGTTGTACAGCTACACGATATAGTCATTATTCTCTTCGCTTTAGCATCATTAAGAACTAAAATTGTTTAGCTTAGCCTCACATGAGCCATCATAACCTCAAACAAAATTATTTTTCGAATCAAAACCTCAGGAATTACTCATGTTGGGAATGCGGTACACCAAGGAGTAATGGGGTTGGAAGACTATGCGTTTGCTTAGTTCCGTTCGTAACCGATATTACTTATCTCCCCATTCATCCCACTTCCATTATCTCATTCTCTCCCTTAACACCGTCTCGTTCTTCCCACTGTCATCCTTACAAAATAAAACACACATTCAAAAATTTCTTTTTTTGTTGTTTATTCTTGTTCTTTTTGTTGTTGTTGTTCAATGTAAATATTAGCTGTAGATACAGTTTATATATAAATTATATATTTATGTTGATATCGCTTGCCGCTGTTGCGAGTTAGTAAATAGTTCGTAAAGTGTCCACGATCGCCCAAGGTTTGGGTCGTAGTATATATATAAAAAAAATTGTTTTCAAAAATGTTCCGAATTTTCTCGTATAGTTCAGCGGGTGTTAGTATCCATAATATTTTTCTTCTTTTTCCTCTTTCTTTATATAATTAATATTATGACAAAAAAAATTCAACAATTATTGCATAAGTTTTGTTTTTAGGTTTTCAATAACAAATAATAATAATAATTATAATAATAATAATAGTAATCAAAAATTCAATGAAAAAAAAAAATCAAATAAAAAAAAAAAAAAAACACAAAAAACGTACAAATGTCCTTTTGCTGCTGTTCAATGCGACGAGCCTGCCATTTGTGTTAGTATATATGTATGTATGTATATAGGGGTATTCTTGTTATTATATATAGGATGCGAAATGTCAATTAAATCTTGTTTACAATAATCAATTTTGCATTTGCTTTTGCTTTTGGGTTAAATTGTGGCTTAAAACGTAATGAATAGTTGGTTTGCCCTTTAGCTGTTGTTGTTGCTGCTGCTGCTGCTGCTGCTATTGTTGTTGCTTGTTGTTTTTATTGGCAATTGCGAAAACGACGATAGATGCTCTGCACATAAACAAAGACACATTTCCAGTCGGGTCGACTCATCTCCACCATATCTTCCACGTCTAGCAGAGGAGCAATGCCAGCTTTTTCGCTGTAACAGAGATAGCCAGAGATAGATATATATATCGATAACAATTAACAGAAGCTCAGTGCTGCTGACGGGCATCTGCGGATACTTACTCAGCCACGCTAAAGGCCAGCTCAAAGTTGTGTTTGCGAGTTTGTTTGGTTAGTTGACTGTAGTCAAATGCATCTGGCAAGAAATGATGTATCAGCGCACAAAAGGCCAAGCCGTCGGACCAGCTCGAGCTAAAGTTGCTTATTTGGACGTTCTGTGAATAATAAATGTCAATTACGATCAGTATGCGATATTTGCAGCCTTATTTTTAGCTAGAGCAGGCAGAGCAGCTTTAAACTTTTATATTTATGTTTTATCATTATTATTATCAGCAGCAGCAGCAGCAATTAAGCAAATAGTTGTTGTAAGCTCCAGCCCCAAAAAGCAGCAACGACAACGACAACAACAACAGCAACAATTAAGTTAAATAATAATTAGAATAATAATAATAATTATAATATAAGCAGGTGTACGGCAGTAACGTTTACAGTTACTTTAATGTCAAGGAGTCAAGAGTTGCGCCTCTGCTTTTTGAACGCTGCTTCCTCTTTCACTTCATATTCGCCAAGCCGACGGCGACGACGACGGTGACGTTCACCGCTGCTGTGTGTATTCGTGTGTGTGTTTATATGTGTGTGTTTTGTGTGTATGTGTGTATGCGTGTATATCATAGATGAGTGGCGCTCAGCAGCTCAGCCAGCGTTCAAGCATTGTTAAGTTTTTGTATTTGCGCTTTTCTTGTATCTAATTTTTTTCTTCATATCTGTTTTTGGTATTTTTTTTAAGGTTATTTGATTTAGCGATTAGCGTTTTTGTGTTAAACATTATTTGCAATATATATCTAAATGAAAACGAACGGCGGTAAATAACAAATACAAAAACAACAAAAAAAATCAAGTAAATCAAGATGCAAAAAAAAAAGAAATTAAGAAAAGGTAACAAATATAACGAACTATTTTAATGGCTGTGGCTTTGCGTTTGCGTTTGGCTGTTTTTGTCTTATTGGTATTTTTTTTTTTTCATTAAATTTAACTTTTTTGTTTTTTAGGTTTTGGATACCTCATATTCCTGCGTTTTGTGCTGACACCACTGCAGAAGTTGATCCTTGACAGTGGCGGCGCGCGCATTTAATGCCGGATCGGTAAATTTGAAATACGGTTGTGCTGAACCGCCTGGGGTCGTGGGTGTGCTTGTTGTTGGAGATGATCTGAACAAATGAGTCAAGGTTGGAGAAGGGGGCAGACGTTTTAGCGAAACTCACACAATTTGTTTATAATTGTTTGTATTTTAACTTTTTCTTTGTACTTTGGTTTTCTGTTTTGGGGGGGGTGTTCGAATTGTTTAGCTCGTGAGTGTATGTGTCAATGTGCGTGTGTGTGTGTGTGTGCATGTGTTGGATAGGATTTTTCGGTTAGCAGGAAAAAACAAATTATTAATATTACTGTTATTACTATTCAACGGTACTTTACTGTGTATATATGTGTGTGTGTATTTGGAGCTACGACAGGTGCATAAGGTGTTTTAACAGACAAAGAGTAAGAGAGAGAGTGGGAGAGAGAAAGAGAGAGGGAGCAAAAGAGACAGAGACAATCGAAATAAGGAGCTGCGTGCGCAAGCCCAACAGGCTATAGCAAGACAGAAAAACATACACATACATACATAAATACATATGCATGTACATGTTGTAGCAACAATTTACAATTCACCTACAAAAGTAAACCTAAACACAATTGACATTTAAATGCCGTTAACCATCACCAGAAAATGGACATAAATATATAAGGCGAAATTAGTGAGTGAATACGTGTGTGTGTATGCGTGTTTGAGTCTGTGTGTGTTTCTATTGTGATCCTTCACCATCTATGTATGTATGTATGTGTGGGTGCAAAAGATATGCAAACAAAATGTTAGATTAATTAACATTCGAGTTCGAACGCAGTGTTACCAAACGACTCCATAAATTAGCTTTAACATTTTCACGTTTGCATATCCTTTACAATTGGTTTATGTTTAAATAAATATAAAATGTGTTATTATTTTGTAAAGTATTTAATATTTGAAATTGTTTAACTTACTTTTGAGCCTGCTGCTGCTGGGCAGCTTTATCGAGCTGCTTGAATTTGGCCAGCGGCGAGATGTTCTTGTTGTTGGCAGCGCTGCCGCTCACAGTGCGTGTGGTAACTGAAAGTTGAGTTTTTAGGCAAATTTAGTATATTTTGTTGCACGTGTTGTGCTATCGATATAGCGGCTATCGGATTACCTTTTGTTGTTGTTGTGGTGACAATTGCGCCGCCATCTTTTGATTTTGTCTCGGTGCGTTCGCTGGTCGTTGAGCTTTGTTGCTTGTGTTGTGCTGCATGGCGAAAGGTGTTTGTTTGAGAGGCAAGTTGCGAAATAGAAGAAGAAATAATTACAGCAATAAGTCGATGGGCATGCACACACAATAAATACAAATCAACAGCAATTAAGTGAGTTAAAAAAAAAGAGTTATTGAAAAAATGTTTGAAGGGAAAAAATTGTGTTAGATAGTTTAATAATATTATTTATGTACTTTTTTTTTACATATTAAAATAATATTTTCAATTTTTTGTATCTTGACTAGTCTAAGAGCAGGCAACAATATATATGCGACACACGAAACGAAACACGTAGATAATTAGCAAAAATTGCAAATATTTGTATTTTTTTTATTTTTTTTATTTTTTAGTCAGCGGCTAGACAATGTGGAGTAAAATAAATCAAAAATGGCATTAGAATTCTTGCAGCAAAGAAACACGCGCACAACCGGCTGTTCCATGCCGCGCGTTCCATCAAAAACAACAACAATTATACACAACGAATAGAAACAAAACGGAAAATGATTCGTGGCCGTTGGCGATTTGGTGGTTGGTGTCTGATGGTGGAGTCGCTGGTGGTGCAGCGGCTACGCTGCTGCTGGTGGAGCTGTTTGCTTGCAGCGATCTCAGAACTCAATAAACTTAGGAACTACAACATGCAAAATACTCTTTATATACAAAATACAAATAAACGAACCAACATGCGAGTAAACAAATGGAATGGAACAAAAATATATCTAGAGCCAGCACAGCTAACTGGGCAGCTAATCGTTAAACAAAAAATGTAGATATATTTATGATGGATGAAACGATAAATAAGAACGCTAAAGAAGGTGGGTGGACGGGAATAAAATATATATACAGAAAGAAAACTAAGTGAGAGAGAGAGAGATAGTGGAGGAACAACATGGGATTTTTGTGTGTGTATGTGTATGTGTGTGTGTGTGTGTGTGTGTGTGTGTGTGTATGTATGTGTATGTATATTGTTTATAACCAACCAGCCAACGGAACGAAACGTAACGGAATGAAACGGAATTAAAACGTTAAAGCGCTAGATAACTTTTGTACAGTTGTGTATGCTTTGGGGGGGCTGGGCTAAGGGGGCAGGCAAAAAGTATATATGTATGTATATATATTTACATATCTATACATATATATATATTTATGTATATGCAGTTAGGCTGGGCGAAATGTAGCAATATGGTAGTACATGGAACGCGCTGGTAAAAGGAACAACAGCAACAACAACAAGCTGGCAACGCTGTACAGTTGATGTTTGCATTTTTTCACTCACAAATCGTAACGCTTGAAGTTTGTCTTCGGCATAGTAGTGCGGCTTCACATAAGTATCTTTCATATCGATATGTTATCGATACATTTTGTTTTTCACTTGATGGGCAGCTAGGCTAAGGGCTTTGACTATGTGTTTAGGCGTGTGTGTGTGTGTGTGTGCATGTGTTGGTATTCGTGTGTGTGTGTGTGTGTGTGTGTGTGATGAAAAGCAAAAGAAAAACCCCTGCTGTGGTCCCTCCAGCTAACTCCACAGACTCGTCGCAAATGTGGAAACGAAATGGAATTGAAACATGACTAGAAATGGGCTAGACTGGTACGTTTTGCTTGCCTAAGCCTACGCTCAAATTGAACAGTTATCGATAAATGTTAATCAGTACAGTTACAGTCCGACCTACGATGTGCGTCCCTGTGTGTGTGTGTGTGTATGTGTGCCTGTGTGTGTGTATCGTTTGTTGTGTCCAGTTGCGTCTCGCTGGGTGGCTCAAACTGGAATGGCTGCTGTCTGTGTGTATGTGTCTGTGTCTCTCTGTGTGTGTGTGTGTGTGCGTCAACTAAAGAACTTATCGACTTATCGATAAACGTATCGATCATAGGGTAAACGTAGGCATTAAGCGCCCAGAATCAGCTGCTCGAACGCATCCTCCACATTGCTCTCATCCAGCAAATTGAGATGCGCTATGTGGGGCATTGTGGCACTACGACTGAGGCCACCAGCGCCAGCAGAGACCGCTGCACCACCACCACCACCACGCATCAGACCGAGAGACAGACCCAGGCCAGCGGTGGACACATTACCGTTCGAGCTGGAATTGAGCGAGCTGAGCGATTTGCGAGCCGCTGACAGCTTTTCGCTTGTTTTCGTTCGATTGATGGCGGATTTGCGTTGCACGCTGCTTGATGCCGTCGTTGTGGTGCGCAGCTCCTCCAGCTGCGGCGACTTCTGCCCGGAGAAGTAGGCCGCAACGGTTCGCTGCTTTTCGCCCAGCTGCTCCTTGTTGATGCCCGCCTCGTACAGCTTCGGCACGGAGAGCGAGTGCCCGGATTTGGTGCGTCGCAGCTCGCCGGGCGATGTGGGCAGCTGTTGCTGTGGCAGCGGCGGCAACTGTTGCTGCTGTTGCTGCTGTTGCTGCTGGCAGATCTGATGCCACGAATCACATTTGCTGAGCCGATTCAAGCGCGAGCCACCACCATTGAACTGCTGCTGCTGCTGCTGGAACTCCTCCTCCTGCGGACGCCGGCTGAGCGAACTGAACGCGCTCACATTGTTGAACACAATATTCCGGGGTATTTGATCCTCGGGCGTGGGCTCGGCGGCAGCCCCAACTCCTGCTGTCGGCTGCGGTGTCGCTGGCGTTTCCACAATCACTGGCTTGCTGGTTGTCATGTAGCCGGCGGTGCCGCTGCTGGTGGTGCTGATCTGGCTGATCTGGCTGACCTGGCTGATGTGGCTGATGTGGCTGGTGCTGCTGCTCATGCGCTTGTTCAGCTGCGGACTCTGATACGCGTTGGGCACATAGTGGTGCCGCTGTGGTGGCCCGAATTTCTTCAGCAGTGGTGCGTTCTCCTTGGGCAGCGACGACTTCACAATGTCCGGCGTATCCGCCGGCGCCGACGACTTGTACTCAAGCACATTGCCCATGCTCTTGCGTCGCAGCTCAAGCAACTGCTGCTGCTGCTGCTGTTGTTGGTGCTGCAGCTGTTGCTGTTCGCGCAGCAACTGTTGCTGGTGTGTGGTGCTGCTCTGATAGGTGGACTCGCTTATCGTATGACTGCGCACACTCAAACGTGGACGAGCCTGTGGCTGTGGTTGAGGCTGTTGCTGCTGCTGCTGTTGCTGCTGTTGCTGCTGCTGTTGCTGCTGCGGTTGCTGCTGCTGTTGCTGCTGCTGTGGCTGCGGCTTGGGCGCCAACTGTGGCTTGGTGCTGCGATCGACGGGCGGCGGTGGAGTTGGTGGTGCATGCATGGGATTCGCCGTCCAGCTGGTGAGCGGCGAGGTGAGCGATATATTGCTGCTGGCCGTCGAGTGCTCGGAGGTGCGCCTGGAACGTCTTAAGCTCACGCTCGACTCCTGCTCATCGGCGGAGTCCTCCAGCGGATAGGTGACCACATAGCTCGTCTGCGTCTCGCCCATGTAGTTGGACTGCGGCGCCGGTGGTGCTGCCGGTGGTGCGGCCTTGACGAACTGCGGCTGGCGGTTCGCCTCGTAGCTGCTGAGCTGTGGAAACAGTGGCTCGACCAGCGGTGCCTGGTAGAGGCGTCCGTCCGGCGACAGGCAGCCCGATGGCTTGCTAGGCGAACTGGGCGCGCTCAGCGGTTGCACCGGCAGCGGTGCACGTGTGCTGCTTGGCTTAAGCGGACTCGCACTCTGACCCGGATTCAGATTCGGATTCTGACCCGGCCCACCGCCCAGCTGCTTCATGGTGTAGAGCAGAGACTTGGCCGCACGCGAGTTCCGGCCGTAGACCTCGTCGTCGCTGACGTGGGCGGTGCGGCGTCCGGCCACTGTGACGGCCGTCTGGCTGCGTGGCTTGCGCATCACCTTGATCTCGGCGCGATACTCGTGCATATTGTGATCCGAGTCCAGGTCGAGGTCGTCGTCGGTGTTGTCCGTCATGGCGGGCGCCGTCAGGCAGCTGGTGGGGCTGTCCACGGGGCTGGCATAGTCGAAGCGCGCGGGCAAGTAGGTGGGATTCGCATTGGTCAGCACGAGCGGTGCAGCCAGCGGATTCGTCAGCGGCTCCATCGCGCTGCTCAGGCACGGCTGGCTGCGATAATTGGCCAGATTCGTGGCGGTGCGCCGCACGGGCGCATAGTCCGCATACGTGAACGAGATGTTTGTGGGCGGAGGCGGTGCTGGTGCAGCAGCAGCAGCAGCAGCAGCAGCAGCAGCAGCAGCAACATGATTTCTATTCGCATACAGCTCCAGCTCCGGCTGCATGGCATTGGGCAGCGAGGGTCGCTTCTTGAATTCACTCAGCGTCGCTGGCGGCGCCTTCGAACGCAGCGAATTGTGACGCTGCACAAAGACGGTGCTCGGTGGTTGCTGCTGCTGCTGCTGTTCGAGTTGATCGCGCAGCGAACGCTCCTCGAAGTGGTGCGCCTTGCGCTTGAAGTCGCTGTTGTCCACGCGCGGCTTGGCCAGCCAGGGCAGTCCGATGGGCGAGGTGGAGGCGGGCGAGGGCGTGTTGCTGTAGCTAGGGCGCGGCTGCAAGTGCTGCTGCGAGCTCTTGCTGCCAGCAACTGCTGCCGCCGGCTGCCAGCTGTTCGGCTTCTGCGCTATGGGCTTGTAGATGTTCCCAGCTGGCGGCTGGCCCTGCTCGATGGGCCTAAAGACGGACTGCGGCGCGTGTATGAACTGATTCAGGGGCGTCTCAGCAGCAGCAGCAGCAGCAGCAGCAATTGTTGCTGCTTGAGCCGCTGCCGCTGCTGATGCTGCCGCTGCTGCTTGCTGCTGCTGCTGTTCACGTTCTCGGTCGCGTTCACGCTCCCTTTGCTGCTGCATGCGCAGCTCCATTTCCTGCCGCCGCTGCCGCTCCAGCTGCTCCTGCTGCAGTCGCTGGCGCTCGAGTTGCTGCTGTCGCTCCAGCTGTTGCCGCTGCTGCTGCTGCTCGTAGTATTCACGCTCCATGCGCGCGCGCTGCTCGCGCTCGAAGCGCGCCTCCTGCTCCAGGCGCAGCTGCCGTTCCAGCTCTTGCCGACGCTGCCGCTCCAGCAGCAACTGTTGCTGCTGCTGTTGCTGCAGTTGCTGTTGCTGCAGCTGCTGCTGCTGTAGTTGCAGCTGCTGCTGCTGTTGCTGCTGCTGCTGCTGCTGCTGCAGCTGCTGATGGTGGTGATGATGGTGATTGGGCGGCTGTGGCGGCTTGCCCTTGGTGGCCGTTGCCGCCGCGCCCGTCTCGAATGTGTGCTTGATGTTGCCGAACTTGTGCGTCCAGTTGGACACGGATCGGGCGCCCGCCCAGCCGAGGCCGCCCTGGTGGCTCTGCTTGTTGATGAAGGCCAGGAACTTGTGATCGTTCTCGGTCTTTGGCTCGAACGGCGGCACCACGTGCTGCACGCGCCGCTTCACGCTCACCTGGACGGCGCGCTTCAGGCCCGGCTGGTGCTGCTGCTGCTGCTGCAGCTGTTGCTGCTCCAGCTCCGAGTCGCTGTCCCCGTCATAGTTCATCTTCAGCTTGGGTATATCGATGGTATTGGCGCGTTTCATCAGCTGTTTCTTGCTGCTGCCGTTGCTGCTGTTGGTGTTGCTGCTGAATCGTGGCTGGGCTGCCTCGGCAGCTGCATAGCTGGCAAAGCTAACGGCATAGTCGCCCGAGAGCGGACGACGATTGCCATTGCCATTCCCATTGGTGTTGCCCGGCCTCAGCAATTGCTGCTTGGGCACAAACTGATTGGGCCTGTAGAGCTGCGTGCTGGGCGCCCCGACGATCGCGCTCGAGCTGGCGTTGCGCTCCAGCGGCAACTGGCTGCTGGCGGGCAGCGGGCGCTGCTGCTCCAGCAGCAGCATGTCCTCCATGTAGCGGCGGGCGTCGGCCAGCTCCTCGCGACTGACGCCCACCGTGTGGCGATTGTTTCGCTGGCGTCGCTTGGCGAAGCGCTGCCTGCCCGCCGCCTGCTGCTGTTCCGCGTCCGGCTGCCCCGCCCCCTCCAGGTCGTCGGCGGCGCTGTGCGCATTGCTGGCGTCGCTCTTCGGCAGCTTCTCGGGCGCACTGAGGCCGCTTTGGAGGCGCGCGATGAGCGCGAGCAGCGCCTGCCGCTGGCTGCCGTCGACGGCCAGCTCCTGGCCCAGCTTTAGGCTGCACTCGAGCCGGCTGAGGGCATCGGTGACCTCGTCGAGCAGGCCGCGGTTCGCGTCGCTGCTGCTGCTGCGCTGCTGCAGCGTGTCGCGCAGACCCGCCGCCAACAGGCGCAAATCCTCGCCGCTCTCCGTGCCCGAATCCTCCTTGGGCGGCACACCCAGCCGCTTCATGCTGCCCGCCTGCTGCGGCTCCTCTTTCGTATCGTTCGCTTGTGTCGTGTCTTTGGTCTTTGATAACTTTTGGCTACTGCTACTAAGGCTATTCGTATTATTAATCGTTTTCCTATTGACGCTAACGCTATGACTAGTTCCTGTTGTTGTTTCTATAGCTGCTCCAGCTGCTGACTGTGACTGAGACTGTGACTGTGACTGTGACTGTGATTGTGGCTGTGACTGCGATTGTAACTGTTTCTGTTGCAGTGGCTCTGGCAGGGACTCACCCTGTGCCCCATCCACTTGCTCCTTGCTGAGCTCAACTTTGGCCAACTTTTGCTCAAGCTCCTTGGTTGGCTTTTCCTTTTCTTTCTCCTTCTGCTCCTCTTTCTGCTTCTCTTTCTCCTTCTCCTTGTCTTGCTTCTCCGACTTCTCTGGCTGTCGCTGCTCCTCCTCGTCGCTGCTGTCGTCAGTTACCTCTTCAATTATCTCCTCATATTCGCTGGCACTGCTCTCTTCCTCTGCTTCTTTGGCAGCGGAATTCTCACCGCCTGCCTTGACACTTTTTACCTCTACGAAGGTTCGCGCGCGCGGGTTCGACACGAATATTTGTATGAAAATCAAGAGTGTGTGCATGAGTGTGAAAGAGTTAGAGGCAGAGATAAAGAGATAAAGAGAGAGAGAGAGAGAGATATTTATGTATATATGTATTCATTAAAGAGTAAAAACACAACGAGTAACGGCAACGCTTGGGCTGGGACACAGTAAGCAAGGCGTTCGAAACTGGATAACAGAACTCGGTCACGTTCATCTGTTCAACTCGTTCGTCGACACAGCGAGTACGAGTTGTGAGAGTGAGTGAGAGAGAGAGAGAGAGAGAGAGAAATTGGAATTTTGGGAGCAGGTTTCAGGGCTTTAATTGGGCGCCTGGGCGAAGACAAGGCAACAAAACAACGAGAGAACAAGAAAAAAAAAAACAACAACGAGAAACAACGAGCAAAATGCGCTTGGACGAGTGACACGTGACAGCAAGAGTGAGCAACGAGTGAACGTTGTGACGAGTGAGCTTTCAGCGAGTCGAATGATAACGAGTAAGCTTTCGGCGAGTGAACGAGCTCAGCGGACAGCGACAGAGACAGAACGTTGAAAGCTGCAAATATAACGAGCAAATACTCTGCGAGTGAGCTCTGAAGGAGCTCGGTACGAAAATGTAACGAGTGAGCGTTAAACGCTTTCAAATGTAACGAGTGCAGATTGCAACGAATAATCTTGGATATATCGTGCGCTAGCATTGAACGAGCTCAAATGCAACGAGTGCAGATTGCAACGAGTAAACGTTGGAGAGTAGCGAGAACAATCGGATATAAATAGAAAGCTTGAATACAACGAGTACAAGCTCAAGTATAATGTGAATTGTTGTAATGAGCAACGAGTAAGCTTGGATATATCGAGTAATTTTTGCGACGAGAGAACGCTGCGAAATTTTTGCTATTCATAGCGAGTAAATGTTTGGCGTAAGCAATCAGCGAGTAGAAGTTACGAATAATCGCTAAGGAATAGCGAGTAAGCGCTCAGAGAGTCAACATGGAAAGTTCAGCGAGTTTAGGCTTGGCGACGACACTTGAGATTGGCGAGAAAACATTGAGAACGAGTTTAACGAGAGCTCAACAAATCGAAACAAAGAACGAGTGTTGAGAGAGAGAGAAAGAGAGAGGTAGAGTAAAACGAGTAAAACGGGAAACGATAACAAGAACGAGAACATTTTAAGAACTGAATTGATGAGGAGTAGACATAAGACTGATGAAGAGAATGATGCAAATGTGACTGATGAATGAGGCATGATGAAAGATGACGAAACGAATTCATTGGCAATACCTGAACTGTTTTCAACGGAATTACTTTAGGCTAGCTACGAGTATGCGCTGTTTTGCATATCTACAAGATACAAATACAGAATCGCAATCAGAATGCTAGATAGACCAGAGAGAGAGAGAGGGAGTTAAAGAGTGTGTGTGAGAGAGAGATAGCGAGAGTGAGAGAAACCGCTTAACAAATAATTGAATATTTTTATTGATTGTTTTTCTTTTCTTTTTGCCAAAAACTTCGGTGGGTTAGTGCTTGGCATTTGCTGTGGTTAGAGGTGAGAGAGCTAGAGAGAGTGAGAGAGAGAGGGGGAGCGTCTTGTGGACTCACCTTCGCGTTCCGCCATAAGTTCGCGTAAACGTGCACGGATCTTGCGACGCTCCTCGTACGTGGACGCCTGCTCCAGCTGCAAGCAGGAAACGGCAAATCAGAGTTAAAGTTAGGGGCGGGGAGGCGTGGCTTACCAATTGCCTAAGTAATTGCTCGTCCCAAATTGCCTCGATGTCACAAGTTGTGCGTGTAACTGGTGCTGAGGACGTTGTTGTTGTCTTTCGTGTGTTGCTGCTGCTGCTGCTGATGTTGTTGTTGTTGTTGTTGCTGCTGCTGCTGCTGCGCTGTTGCTGCGTTGTTTTCACCTGAAATGAGCAAAGGCAATTGATTTGCTGCTTTAACTTTTCGCTGTTTTTTCTTTTGGTTTTTTGGTTTTTTTTTTTTTTTTTTTTTTTTTTGTTTTTCAACCGGAAAATTTGGTTCGCTGACGCCCACAGACGACGGCGAGAAAAGCGAAACGCCAGCTGTTTATTTGGCTAAATAAAGGCGATGAGCACATACGCCGGCAACGCCAGCCAAATTTATTTAGCAGAAAGAAAAAAAAAACCAGAACAAGTTTTACCCACTGATCGACCCTGATCGAACCGTATGATAAGAGGCAGACAGACAGAAAGACAGAGAAAGAGAGAGAGGTGCAGAAAGAGACAAAGAGAGGAGCGACGCGCACGCAGAGAGATCGAGCAGCGAAATCGTCGTCCTTAGCCATGGCTTCATGATTTGCTTCCGTCTGATTGCTGCTAGCCAACGCCAACAACAATGTATGCTTGCAGCATACCTGGCGTATGCGTAATGCGCACACAACCACAGGCAAATATTGGGCATACGCCGCATGGCCATGCGAAAGAAGGAAATTGTAATGAAATGAACTGGCGAGATCAGAAAGAAAGTGAACAAAGAAATCCATGGATTGGCCAGGTAACTAAGGTGAGGCTATAACCGTAAATGGATAGGGTTAGTTAGGATCGTACACAGTGAGGAGACACTATGAAGTGCGAGTAGTGTTATATAATTATTATCAATTGCATTTGCATTCGATCAGTTCGAGCTGAATTACTACAAAACTAAAGGCAACTAAATGTGCAGGACAGTGCTCTTCAAACTGTCCTGCCAAACTATAGTTTCAAATCATATTCAAATATGCCTTTAGAGAGAGCCATAAGTGGGCGTGGCTTTGTTTAATGATAATGTGTACAAGTCAATGACTCTCTCATGGGACTAAACGGACATACGTAATACCCTAGAGTTCAACTCTACTTAAATATCTATGCATCAATGCTTCTCAAACTGTAGAAACCAAGTAAAATCAGCTGCGTAATGAAAATTTACAATAGGCAGGTATGACGTATATAATACCCTATACAATAGTACACCCAACAGTTGTAAAAAGTGCGAGCCAGCACTGCTCAAACTGTAAAACTGACAAGTGTCTTTCAAACTGTAGCTAAAGCTTTACATGCAGCTGAGCAATCTTTGGGAGCGGAGCTGGGCAGAGAGAGAGAGAGAGAGAGAGAGAGAGAGACAGACTAACTATAACAATCAACTACATCTGTATCACATACACATATGCATACACTCACACACAAACACGCACTCATAATACCCTGTAAAAAACGCACCAATTAGCTAAGTATGTTCTATTCAAACTGTAAGCAACTGCAATGCCTTTCAAACTGTTGGAAATTCTTGTTTGATGAAAGGCAGTGGGCGTGGCTCCACTTGACTCCCCTTCAGCTTGCCAAAACTTTCCACACATCAAAAGATCAGATCACAAAAAGAATTTTGAAAAGCCTCAATTCGACTTTTGACAAAACCCTAAACTATGCAAATAGAGCATATTATATATATGTAGCTGCGAGTCTATGAGCCAAAATAACAAAAAATAGCGACGTTCACTTTAGACCAAATTCACAGCTCAAATTTGGAGCAGCTATCAAAACGCTTTGCCGCTTGAACTGGGTCGCGTTAAAAGAAAGTTCGCACTTTGTTGCGCTTCTTATTCTTGTGCCTCTTCTTCTTGCTCTTCGTCTTGTGCTTTAACAAAGAACCTTTACTCACTTTTGTACAGAATTCGTTTAGCTCTTGCCAGCGCTTGGCCAAAAGATAACAAAAATTTAAAAAAAAAAACAACAAAAATTAAGTTAAAGTATTTTTTTATTTATTTATGTTAATTTCAAAGACATTCGCAAAGCATTCTGAGCGAAGCCATCAAAATTTCGAATACGATTCTTATGCTAATTGGAAGAGCAGATTTCATTTCTTTTTAGATCATTTAGAACATGTAGGGCACAGAGACAAAAGAGCGAGCGGGTTAGTCGAGGCAGGGGCAGGGGCAGGGGCAAAGGCAGGAAGTATGGGCAAATAAATTTTACATTTTATATTCATTTCCATTTGCGTGAGCACATTAGTATAATAAAAAGGGAAATTTCATTAAGTATACGCAGCGTTTGACCGCAATTGACTTGCATGCAAAAAAAAAAAAAAAGCACAGATATTAAGAGAGAAACAAAAAATCATAAATTGAATTCCTTTTGTGTTGTGTTTTTGCTTTTTGTTCTTTTCAATTTCAACAACAACAACAAACTTGGACAGCTGTGCGCGTCTCATGCGCCCTGCGGCCACGCCCACGCGCATGAGTCTAGGCACTACGATACCTAAATGCCCATTGAAAATCGTATAAGCCCAGCGGGTATATTGATATTGATGGGAAGTTCATGCATGCAGGCAGATAAGCTTGGCTCCTGCTTTTCTACTCAGGTCTGGATTCGATCAAGAAATCTCTATATGCATAGTCAACTAAGTCTATAAAGCTGCGTTCTTTAGATAGATCTTAATACATATGTGTTGTCATATCGATAAATATCATATAAATATTAATTGTCTTATACAGTAAAACATCCAAAACTTGTATCGATAGCTCATCTATCGACTTTACTTGCTCTTCCTGTTAATCGAATTAAATGAATCGATATCTATGACACATTTATCGACTATCAATCAAAAATTACTCGATAACACATACCATATATCATATTTATAAGCTATAGAGAAAGATTATTCAGCCAAAAACTTTCGATAAATCCCAATTTCGCCTTTACAGCGTATCTTCTAGTCCATCATTTAGAATCGGGCACACGTTTGATGCTTTGCTCGCTTGTTTATAACAAATTTGACCAAATTTGGCCAGCACAATTATTCAAAAATAACAACACGAGCAACAGGCAACAACAACAACAATTTCGAATATATTTTCAGAAATTTTCAGTAAAAAAAAAATTTTTTTCCGAGAGTTGAAAATTGGGAAAATTCGTCGAGAGCGACGCCGACCAAAAAAGCAGAAACACGCGTTGCTATTTTTAGCTAGAAATTAATTTAGGCAATACACACAATCAACGCGAGAGAGCGAGAGAGGGAGAGCGAAAAAGAGAGAGAGCTAGAGAGGAAGATAGAGAGAGAGAGAGAGAGAGAGAGAGAGCTTTTCATATTTTCGATTATACGCATTAACAAAAACGTTTTACTTAACTAAATATATAAATATACATATAATTGTATATTTATATACATACATATCTTGGGGATATGCGCCAGCAAAAGGGTATTATAATTGGGTCAAATCAGATCTAACGGCATTTGGGGCTGAAATGCAATAAAAAACCCAAATTGTATGAAATACACGCGAGTCTATATACAAAATTTGGAAGATCTACAGATGAACGAGATCAAAATATAAAACTAATATACTGAATATACGTATATTTGCCACGCCTACTTCTGCCTGTCAGATCGGAACAAAAACATTTCCCATCTTCATTTGACAGCACTTTCGTTTCTATTAAATACAAATTTTTGTTTTGTTTTTCTTTTCGACTTAACAAAAGGCAAACAAACAATAAATATTTAAATTTAAAATATTTAAATATATTATAATAAAATATATATATAATGCTCATATATATTTATCACTTAAAGAACATACATATATTTTCTATATTTAATTTAACAAATTTTCATTAAGTTTTTCAATTTAATTTTAGGTTTGTTTCCTTCTTGTTTCATTTTTTTTTTTTAATAATAATTTGCAATTTATTTTGGCCGCTGTGACGTGGCTTTGATCATTGTTGTTGTTGTTGTTGTTGTTGTTGTTGTTGGCAACAGGCTTGCCAAGTTATTTGCGCAATTCCGCCAAAGCGTAACAAACCCCACAACAAATTGCTGCTAGCAGCAGCAACATGCAGCAGCAACAGCAACAGCAACAATCAACATTAAGATGGGGCGGGGGCCAGTGGACGGGGCGTGGCATTTGATCGCATGCAGCGAAGCATGAAAATCAAAATGGAAATTGCAGTCCGAAAGGCACAAAACAATTAAAAAAAGAGTGAACAGAAAAAAGTGGAGAAAAAGAGTTGTTGTTGTTGTTGTTGTTGTTGTTGTTGTTGTTGCTGCTGTTGTTGTTGTTGTTGTTGCTGTTGCTGTTGCTGCTGTGCAACTGAGCAAAGCGAATGCAGTTGCCATTGTTGTTGATGATGATGTCGTTGTTGTTGTTGTTGTTGTTGTCATTGTCATTGTTGTTGTTGTTAGTTTTGTTCGGCTAGCTCAACAAATTGGGCAACTATTTGCATTGGCTTTGACACTGTCGCCAGCAGCAACAACAGCAACAATAACAGCATTGATAACAGCAACAACAACTACATACATACATACATATGTACATATATGATTAATGCTTCTCAAAGTGTCGAGTAAACAACAAATAGCAACAACAATTGAAATTGCTGTTAAATTTAGCCAAAAGGTGAGAGCAACCAAATTGGGAAGGCCAAAGGCGATTTCTTTTCCCATTCAATTTCAATTTCAATCGAAATTTGAGAGAGATTTAACAGTTTGACATGTTGAACTAAGCGAATAATGGAAGAATAGAAGAAGCCTTCAATATGATTGATAAGAGAATACACTAGATCAATATCAGATATAGATATAGATATAGATATAGATATAGATATAGATATAGATATAGATATAGATATAGATATAGATATAGATATAGATATAGATATAGATATAGATATAGATATAGATATAGATATAGATATAGATATAGATATAGATATAGATATAGATATAGATATAGATATAGATATAGATATAGATATAGATATAGATATAGATATAGATATAGATATAGATATAGATATAGATATAGATATAGATATAGATATAGATATAGATATAGATATAGATATAGATCCCTTTATAGGTATGGATCTTAAGAGAATACACTAGATCAATATCAGATATAGATATAGATATA